TATGAGTTATTGAAAATTAAGTGGCGCGACCCGTAGAAAAAATCTACAAATTTAAGAAGAGAAGACAGAAGAACTTTTGAAAAAAGTTCCAAAATTGGATCAATTTAAAAAAAAAAAAAAATAAACCCTGAACCAGAACAAGCTGGATGCAGCGAGCTTTCATGTATATCAAAGGAGAAAGGTAAGGTTTTTTACTTTTTTTATACATATTGGGGTAAATGCACTAGTAAACGACCATTCAAGGAATTAGTAACCTTCAAATATGTAATTTGATTTTAATTTTGTAGTTTTCTTAAATATTTAGATATATTTTTCGTAATTTGTATACCTACGAAAAATATATCTTAAGTGTCCCAAAATTCTGCGATGTTAGTTATAAATGGTGAAATTGTTCGCAGAGAGTGGTTATTAATAATACAATTGTATTCTAACTTAACTAATATGGTTTATTGTTTACAATGTAAATTATTCGGATCTACTAAGCAGACATTATTTGTCGATGGGTTTAATAATTGGAAACATTTGGAAATACTTGGTGAACATGAAAAGTCAGCAGGGCATAGAGAAAATACAGAAACTTATATATTAAGATCAAAAACTCTTGCCAAAATAGACATTGTTATAGAAAAACAGTACCTTGCGGAAAAAGAATATTGGCGAAATGTTTTAAAAAGGTTAATAGCCGCTGTGAAGTTTTTATCAAAGCAAGGATTATCATTTCGGGGAAGTTTTGAAAAAATAGGATGTGGAAATTATTTAGCCACGTTCGAATTAATTGCAAAATTTGATCCCTTTTTAAAAAATCATTTAGAGAAAAAGGCAAATAAGGGAAGAGGCCACACTTCTTATTTATCCAAAACTATATGCGATGAATTTATTGACATAATGGCAACTTTAACTACAAAAAAAATTATTGAGGAAGTAAAGCATGCTAAATATTATTCAATTAGCGTAGATTCTACCCCGGATGTTTCTAATATAGATCAGTTGAGTTTTATTTTACGTTATGTATTACCTGATGGATCGATAGTTGAACGATTTATAAAGTTTGTAAGTAAGGTTGGACATAAGTCTTCAGAAATGGAAACTGCTGTTTTACAAACATTAAATGAACTTTCTTTAAATATAACAGACTGTATGGGTCAAGCTTACGACAATGCCTCCAATATGTCCGGAAAATATTCGGGCCTTCAAGCACGAATTAAAAATCAAAATAAAAAAAGCTGTACATATCCCATGTGCCGCTCATTCACTAAATCTAATTGGTTCCTGTGCAGCGGAAAGTTGTTTAAATGCCACCAAATTTTTTATGTTTTTAAACGATTTGTACGTATTTTTTTCAGCTTCCACTTTTAGGTGGAACATTTTAATATATGCTTTAAAAGAATCTAATAAAAAATTAGTTCCCAAAAAATTAAATTAAAGCTCTCTACAAATCCTATGAAAGCTATCAACACGCTCTCGAATTACTAATAAATGATAACAATCAAACTCCCACTGTTAGAGCTCAAGCTTTAGCCTTAGTGATATTATGAATAAACTATAAACTGGATTATTATTAGTTTTGTGGCATAAGATTTTAAATCATTTTAATTCTGTAAACAAAAGCTTACAGGAACAACATATAGATTTATCAGTTGTAATAGATTTGTATAATTCATTGATAGTTTTTATAACTGAACTAAGAAACGATACTAAATATGATGAATTTGAAAAAATTGGAAAGGAGATAGATTTCAAGTTGTGAAGAATATGAGAAAGAAGTAAAAAGAAAGCGATTTAGAAAAAAAAACAATAGATGAGGAAAGCGCAGATGAGGTAACTTTTAGTGGGAAACAAGATATGAAAGTCAATACATTTTATGTTATTTTGGATAATCTTTTATTTGAATTAAATCGAAGAAAGAATGCCTATGAACATGTATTTGATCTTTTTGGATTTTTTAATTCATTATGCGATATCCCTGATAATGTAATATAAACAAAAGCTAAAGAACTATTGTATATATATTCAACAGACTTGGACGAAGATTTTCCAGAAGAATGTATACAATGCAAATATTTTATAAAAAGCTTGAGACAAAAAAAATCTAATACAGAACACATGAAAATGGCTGATATGTTAAAATTAATAAGACAACAAAAAATTATTTCTACTTATTCAAATATCGATACAGCTTTGAAAATATTTTTAACCATACCAGTAACCAACGTTAGTGGAGAAAGGTCGTTTTCGGTTTTAGGAAGAATTAAAAATTATTAAGAAACTGTATGGGCAGGGGCGTGCTGGGCCGCCGGGACACCGGGAAAAATCCCGGTGGGCCGGTGGTCCGGAGGGCTAAGTGGGCCGGTGTGCCGGAGGGCTATGTAGGCAGCATGCCGCAGGACGTGGTCAATTAAAAACTTTTTTAGTTGAGTTATGTATAAATATAATTATTTTACACATACCATGCATGCCAGTCTGCCAGCTTTGTTTCTTTTTTCGAGATTGTATATTGTTTATAAGTTTCCTGAGCGATGATAATTTGTATTAGTTTTTATTTTAAGTGCAATGCTATATGTTTTAGCATTGTGTAAAATATTGTCTGGTTGCACTGAAAGAAAAAGTATGTTAAATCAACACATTTGGCGGTTAAATACATTCAATCTTTTCTGGGAGTTAAATTAACTATCGGGGAGTTAAACTAACTATCTACGAATGTTAAATTAACTATAAGTTGCAGTTTAATATTCGTAGTTAGTTAATTTAACATTCGTAGATAGTTAGTTTAACTCCCCGATAGTTAATTTAACTCCCAGAAAAGATTGAATGTATTTAACCGCTAAAAGTGTTGATTTAACATACTTTTTCCCTCAGTGTGTGTTTGTTGCCTGTTTTTTTTTCAAGAATTTAATTTATACTTTATGTTATTAAATATTAATATATTAATAAATGTTTGAAATTTTTTAACTTGGTTTTGTTCACCCCTCATTTTTCGTGTGTAGTTGGCCGATTTTTCTGAATTTCCCGGGCCGGTCTGATATAGCCAGCACGCCCCTGTGCATGGGTGATTTAAAAACCAGTAATTTGTCACTTCTGTGTATAGAAAATATATTGGTGGATTCCTTAGATGAGGAAATAATAATTTCAAATTTTATAAGCTGTAAACTACGGAAAAAAGTTTATTAAAAATTAAATCACGCTTTGGTTTTTTTTTTCATTTTATTTATTTTCTATACAATTTTTTTCAAAATTTTCGAGGACGAAAAAAATGTGGGGCTTTTAAAAAATTGGGGGGCGCATGAAAACTTTTGGCCCCGGGCGCCACGAGACCTTAATCCGGCCCTGAATATAACCATATACAGGGTGAGTCATTTAACTTGAAACTTTGAAATATCTTAGTTAGTATGCATTTTACGAAAAAATGTTTAAAATAAAAATTAAATGATTCGAGGGGGGAAATCAATCAGTACTAAAATTGGTCCTCATACTCTCCTCCTTATAGGGGGAACAGGGGGTAATTTTAAAATTTCCAATGGAACACCCTATTTTTTATTGCAGATTCGGATCATTCGACTAAAAATAGGTAGATTGTGTCTAAAACATTTTTTTCATATTAAATTACTCACCCTGTATACATAGTTGTCAGTAGGGATAGAACGATATCACTTTTTTTTGCCGATACGATATATCGGCCGATACCGATATTTACGTGCCGATATATCGATATACCGATATATCGTATCGGCAAACATAATGCCATCTATTTATACACGACCGAAGCAAAAATCGGGTCCCGTTTTAATTCCGTTGCGAGGAAACGTTTGTGATTGGTAGTGAGTGACATTTCGGATTTCTGGGAAGCCCCTTATACAGTGTGTATTAAAACGAATAGATACACTTAAATAAAACAAGTGCCAAACCCCGCCCACTGTGGTAGGGATTGAGAATTTATAGGTTTTATTTTTATCGAATTCGTTTGTTTTGTTTTAATGCATTTCTGCAAATAAAAACTAAGTATTGTTTAAAATCCATTAAATTCCAGTTAATGGCGAAAATGGCATTTTTAAAAACTATACACATTTCCCTACGACAGCGTCGGAACTACTGAACAAACACAGTAGATCAAACTGCATGCCGCGCTGTTGCCATATGCTATTATTGTTTCCTAAAAGGGTTTTTTTTTCTTATTTTTTAATATTAAAAGTAAGAAAATTTTTATTTTGTTTAATAAAGTATTTCATTTATGCACTGAAGAGTGAAGAGCGCAATTTTTTTTTGCCGATACGATTATCTTGCCGATACGATACGATACCGATAATCGGAAACAATTGCCGATATGCCGATATACCGATATCAATATCGGTATCGTTCTATCCCTAGTTGTCAGGTTGATTTTTTATCTGATAAATAGTTTAATTTTATTCGTTTTAAAACCATAAAAATAACTAAGAAATAATAATAATATTAATAAATAATCTTATTGTATTTACAATACATTTTAGGAAATAGAAAATAATTAATGGCAGCGCGCTCCGCTAGCTGTAGTAAAAACAAAGGCTCGAATTTTATTTGCTGCCTTTATCTATGGCTTTCCTTTTTTATTGTGTACACACTGTATATGCTTTTTACATGCTTTAAACCTTTGTATTCGAGATAAAGTTAATAAAAAAGTATAGTCAAGCCACTGCTTCTTTATAAGTTTGATTATTTCGAATGAGCAATTTTGCATTCTTTAATTTTCAAAAAAAAAATTAAATTCGTTTATCCGCTGGTGGCCATAATTTTTTCAGGGACGAGCAAATATACAAATTTTATTTTCATTTTAAAAATTAGACATGTTGGAGACTAAAAAGTTGTATTTTTAACATTGGTACATTTGTATTTAACATAAAATAATTTTAAACTCATAAAAAATCAGTAGCGTACGGTACGCTGCGTACCCAAAATTTATTTTTAAATATCTAGTTAGGTTGTATTATTATATTATTAAAAATATTTTATAAAAGAATTTAACTTACCGATTTCATCCGTCGGTGTGGATTTAGTCATTTCTCGATTATACTAAAGCCATTCAGCTGTAAAAATAAGGAACATTAATATAATTTTATCTTTAGATAAGGATAACAAAATTAAAATATCAATATCATAATTAAATTCACCATCAATTAGAATAGTATATCCCAGCCATACTGCGGTGCGCCAGCGCTTTCTTTGCCGCCCAAAGTTTAGCCACAGTAATTTTTAGATAAAAAAATGACTACATAATTCAAACCACTTTTTCTTACAAAGTCTTGCTAGATAGAAAAGGGCAATCTAAATATTTCTGTAAAATAAGCGCTTTCTTTGCCGCCCAAAGTTTAGCCACAGTAATTTTTAGATAAAAGAATGACTACATAATTCAAACCACTTTTTCTTACAAAGTCTTGCTAGATAGAAAAGGGCAATATATTTCTGTAAAATAAGCGAAAATAGCGAGTATACATTATACCCAAAGGGGTAAAACAAACATATTTTGTTAATACACACCACAGCCTAACACACTAAATAAAATGTAAAATTTGAACATCAGCCATTAAAATACAGAAAAGGTATTTAAAGACAAGTGACAGTCATGCGCAACATACAAATACACTATTCTTTGGCAACTTTCTTTAGTAGGTATAGACATCTACTATCATTATGCCTAATGTTGCTAAATGTGTAATTATAGAACATTGCGTGTATCTGTATAATATTTATTTAATTTTAAATAAAAAGAGTATTATTTCATTTTTAGACTCAATCGGGTTCTGCAGCAGTTAAAAATGAGCCCATACACTGTTAAAAAATTTTGTAAAATTACTACATTTTTACTAAGCAGTTGGGAAATCTACTAAGATAAGTTGTAATTTTACAATCTATATGTATAAATCAGTAGCGTAGCTAGCCTAGAGGGGGCCCCATATCAAAAAAAATCTGGTAGGCGCCCTTATAAGGGAAAAGCTGCTGGCAAAAAAATTTCTGGGTGTCACGCCCAAACTCTAATTTCGAGGGTATCATTTTTTTGCATTTACCAATTTTTTATAATTTAATAAATAATATATGTAGGTACACATAATTTGGTCTGGTTTTAGACGTTTACCGTTTTTCAACATCTTTTAAAATGTTTCTATTTAAAAAAAAGCAAGTCATTTGAAATAATTGTAACGCCAATAATAATTTCTAATTTTCTATTAATATAACCTATGATAATAACACGCAAATCAGACTCAGTATGCGGAGCAGAGCATAGAACAATATGCGCAGACTGCGCCACAGACAACGCATAGCGGAAAGTTGCGGGCAGAAACAATTCGTTCAGTTCGAGACCTAGTTGAAACAGGAGGGTATTCAGAAAAATTTTAATAATAAATCGAAGTATAAACAATTAAATAATAATATTATTTATTTATTTAATTTCATGCCTTAATTCTTTTAACATGTGGGTAAAATGTTTTTTGCTTACGCATGTCGAATCCAGGGGCCCCGTATCATTGATACGGCTGATACCGCGGTAGCTACGCCCCTGGTATAAATCCTACATGCATTTCAATTTTACTAAACAGTTTGACATGTCTGCAGTTTCTAATAAAAAGCATCTCAGATTTACAAACGTTGTTTGTAATTTGATTTGCTATAATGTTAGGTATGCAAAATACATGCTATGTACCGATTGCGGATATACATGTATATATATCATAGATATATATATCATAGATATATAGATGCATATAGATGCATCTAGATGCATCTATATATCTATGATATATGTATATCTATATAGACATTAAAAAATATTTATGGTGGTATTTTTTATTCTGTAAAAACCTGCGAAGCAATAAAAATTTACCACTGAGCGCACTTATGTCAATTGTTTTTTTGCGGATATACATGTATATATATCATAGATATATATATCATAGATATATAGATGCATATAGATGCATCTATATATCTATGATATATGTATATCTATATAGACATTAAAAAATATTTATGGTGGTATTTTTTATTCTGTAAAAACCTGCGAAGCAATAAAAATTTACCACTGAGCGCACTTATGTCAATTGTTTTTTTTGGACATATAAAAATTGCAATTTTACATGGTAGAATAATATTGTGATTCTTATGAAATAACAATATTTAAATAAATATTGATTTAAAAATAAAAATAAACACCCTGTATAGATGCAGTCTTTCGATGGTATTGGTCATTGAACTTAATTTAATAAATAAAAGTCCTTAGAGTATCATCATCAAAAATCAATAGTTCTGCATTTTAGATTTAATCGATTGATAAAGTTCTTGGAATGACATTTTCCTTTCTCTTTATGGAAATGCAATATTATGAAAAAAAACTCAACCTTGTTGCAAGTTTAATTAATGAAATATTATTATTTTTTTACATTGAATCAGGGCCGTACCGAGGCACACTTTTTGGGGGGGGGTGGAGACGATAAAAAAACCAACTTATTTTTTTATCGATACTTTATTAGTAAAAGTAAAAATTTTCAGTAGTTTTATCATGTATGTAAAGTGTTGTAAAGTGTAGATAAAGAATGTCTTTACGTACCATTAGCATGCTCTTTCGAAGTCGATGGGATTGATTCTCGTTCTCTATTTTTTTGATTTGCTGCCAATGTAAGTGGAGTATCCGGAACAGCAACAATTTTAATTTTAACCAAATTAACACCGTGAATATTTTTCTCATGCATTTTTTTCTAGTCCTTGTTAAACACAGATCCACATAATGAGCATTTTACTAGAACTCGGCCCGGTTTAGCTTTGTTTTCCATATTAAAAAAAAACTAATTCCTATTTATTGACACTAGTTTTACTTAGCTTAGATAAGCTTCAACTAAATAATAATCTAGAAATATAAGACGCCGAAAATTGCGGTGCGTAAAAAGAGTCAAACGCCGCCAAAACCAAAGACAAAGCCGCGAGGCGGTGCCGACTTTGTACATGCCGTTTGTGTAAAATATAATGTCCTTTAATAAAAATAAGGTTGACCAATACAATTTTCTTGACGGTAACGATTATAGGAGGTTACAATAGATTAAAAATTATAATTTTGTAATGTATGTAGGTAAAGATTAAAAATTATATTTCATTTTATTTATTGTGATGGGTTGGTTGGTAGGGTAGGTATACCCAACCAACCGACACAAATACTATAGATTTTGCCAACCGTGTTTGGATTTTTAGGGAATGAAATAAGTTTCATAAAATTGTGCTAATAAACAATTAAAACCCGGCGGCGAAAGCTTATTAATTTCCTCGCAACAATCTACTCGGGTATACAAAATACAAAATTTTCTCAAGGACCTTTAGGTCAAACATTTTGTCAAATTGGGTTCAGTGACCTCGATTTACTATAAAACAAGTGGTTACTCGGGTATACGCCAACCAAAATTTTCCCAAGGCCCTGTGGGTCAAAATTTTTGTCAAAAATGGGTAAACTAGCAAATTAAAAAAAGAGGATTATGAACTAGCTTTGGATGAAAATGTATTACATTAATAATAATGTAACATTATGTAACTGTTAAGGATTGGCTGGATCAGAATTATCCAGAGCAGTGGAGTGGTAGAAGATGATAGAAGATGACCAATAGAATGGATTCCCAGATCTCCAGATCTCACACAATTAGACTTTTTCTTTTGGGGTCACTTAAAATCTGTGGTCTTTGAAAACTCAGCCTGATTCTATTGAAGATCTGCAAAATTTACCAAATATCGACTATACTATAACCGCGAATTGACTATTTATTCAGCGCAACTTTACCGTAAGAATGAAACCCCTACAAAAAAATATAGTACTATAAATAAAAAACATAAACTGTAAATAAAATACATAAACCTTTTCTTTATGTAGATAATTATAAATTATGTTTCATTAGTTAAGGTTGGCTTTACTTAGGGATTAATGTTATCTTTATAAATATCTTTATATAAAATTTTATCAATAATAACTATTATTAATTTGTTTATATTTACTCACGTCAATTTAATTATATATTATTTATACCTTTTTTCAAAACATGTTATTTAACTACAAATTATCTTAATAAAAAGTGGCAAAAATTTAAATAAATTTAAGATAAAACCTAAAACTATAATAAAAATCACTATACCTTAATCAGAGCTGTCACAAGTCACTTCTAAAAAGACTTAAGTCATAAGTCGTAAGTCTTTTTTGAAATAAAAATGACTTAAGTCTTAAGTCATTTTTTCTATAAAACAGAAAAGATTTAAGTCTTAAGCCTTTCAAAAAGACTTAAGTCTTTTTTTTTAAGCCTTAAGTCTTATTAAAAATGACTTAAATCAAATATATAAAGACTTAAATCTAGAAAAAGACTTAAGTCATTTTTAGGGACTTAAGTCCCTAAAAATACTTAAGTCGTTTTTAGATTTAAGTCGTTTTATAGGTTTAAGTCGAAAAAAAAAAGATTTAAGTAAAAAAAAAAACAAATACCTTACTCATTTTGAGAGATTCAAAACAAGATCAAAGAGTATATATTTAATAGATACTCTTTGACAAGACTTTTAATGAAATTTATTTTTAAAATAGGTGCATAACATAAAGTTGATCACTTAATTAGTCAATTACTGTATTGTATATAATAATGTACTGGCACACAGTGTTGGAAATGCCCAAAAAGCTGGCCAAAACATATAAAATCTACATTAATATATTTGAGTAAATTTAAATTTTTTATATGTTAAAAACATATAACAAATTTCTTAAGTTTCATAACTGATTTAGTAGAGAAGGTCAAATTTGAACTTTCTTGAAGTGATTTTTTCCATTTCAAGTAACCAGTAAAAAAGGTACTTTTAATATTATTTTTTTAATTATCATTAAAGTATATGCTATTTTTAAATGAATTACTAATTTTAGGTGGATAAAACGATTTTTTAGTGAAAACATATTTAAAAAATGATTTTTTAAAAAATGATTTTGTTTAGGACCTCCACGAGCCGAAGCTCAAATTTTGTCATGATCAGAAAGTTAGTACCTTGGTGTGTTAGTACCATGAAAAATTGGATCCGGTTT